GCGGGCGAAGGAATTCCTTTGTCCCTGGTGTTCTGCATTGCTAATCTCGCCAGCCTCTGGTCAGACTCCTTTCTGCAGCCTGCCTAAGAGCACAATGAGAGGCTGTCTGCCCGTGATCGTCTCACCCCCAGCATGCAGCTCACAATCATTCGAGTCCTAGCCCTATGAGAAAAGGTCACGGACATCATGTGCTGAGATGGGCTTGAAGGGAAGTTGCTTAACCGTGTTTCAGGTCTGGACAGATGTGCAGCATGGCTTTGCAGCAGTGGCTCATTTTGTGCTCACTGTGTGAAACGAGTCAGCACTGATGACGACTGAGGTGGCCACTCATGTGCACGAGGGTGCTTGCACGGTCAGCCCTGCTCCGCTCTGCTGGCAAGCTTGAGATTCAGAAGTGGTGAAGCCCTGAGGTGGAGATTGTATGCCTCGCCTTAGCTCTGCTCCGTGGTGTCTGAGAAGTCTGGGCAGGTGGCACTGTGGTGTTGTCATCGGTCTGTACCAAGTCTTACGTTCGTGCTGCTCACCTGAGAGCCCTGCAGACTTTGGTGCTGGCTCTGGAGTGTTTGACACTTCCTAGGGAAATCTGTCTTGCTTTCTCTGCCCCTGACTGACCCACCTTTGAGAAGTAGCTCTAGTGTCTCGGGGGGTTTCTTTGACCCTGAGAGGCACGATAACAGTGCATCTGTTGGTGTTGTTTCTTTGACCGAGAGAGGCACGATAACAGTGCATCTGTTGGTGTTTGTAGTGATGAGCTACAGCAGGCCGTGAGGGTCAGGAGTGCTGCACCGGTCGGTGTTGGGGTGCTTGTACGTAGGAATACAGTGGCTGCGTGGCTAGCGTACGCACACAGAATTACTGGCAAAGCAAGGCGGGGCCGGAGGTGCTGGCTCCTCGTCCCCAAAACTGACCGGGCCGTTGGGAGAAGCCTGCCGGTGAGACCGGGCGGCAGTGACTGCCAAGTGGCCAATGGCAAAGCAGAGCTTTAGCAGAAGCACCGGCTGTGGGTGTTGGCTGACTCACCGGGCTCTCGTGGCCTCGGTTATGCGTGGGTCGTGCTGTGCGGTCACAAGGCCTAGCATCCTAACTACTGTAAGGGGAGGGTGAAAACCTGCAGACGCCACTGGCACTTTGGACTTGCTGCGGGAAAGTGGGTTTTCCTGCTCGTGCCACTGATAGCTTGGGACATTCACAAAAATATCAACTCGCTAAACTGTTTTCATAGACTTGCAGAGCAGTGGGGATGGTAGGGCCCATGGGAGGTCACATCTAGTCCAACCCCTGTTGCCCGAACTGCCTTATACAAGTGTGGTCTAACCTGGTCTTAAAGCTGCACAAAAGCACTGTCGCACAACGGCCAGGCACGGTGCCCAAAGACACCAGGAACACTGAGCTCCCACCGGCGAAGCAGGGGGACCAGGGCGTTGCAAGGGCAGGGAGTTACATATGAAAGATCCACAGAGGACTGTGCCCCAGTCTGTACCACTCCGACCGTGGGGTAAACGTCTTTCCTGACCCCAAACGCAGCGATTAGTCTGAACAAGACCCTTTGGCTTCAAAATCCCCAGCCGTGGCAGCAGCCCACATCCAGTGCTGTAGAAGGGCCTCCACCCCCTCCATCGCTCCCCGCAGCACACCCTCCGTGCTGCCCTGTGACCCGGGCACGGCTGATAGAGCTCCACGCATCACTTACAACAGCCGCAGTTTTAATAAAGATCCCCTCAAGTGACTGAGAGGAATGTAGCATCTCTAAAGTGCTGTTCTGCTCTTCACCCCGTGGGAACTCGTGCACAGGATTTAGTGGGGTCTGCCTCAGCCGTGAGGCTTCCTGCGATGTTTCTGGTTGGCAAGGGCAGTTGCGTAGCAGACTGAATTTTACTGCGAGTGCTGTAGAAGTGGTGCTGCGTGCAAGATAAGTACCAGAGTTGCTCCGATCAGCAGCTGAAGCCATGTTAACCTGGCTGCGCTTATTTAAATATATTGTCATAGCTCATGTCTGAGGCTTGGTCTGTGCTGAGCCGGGCTGGCCTGAGTGTGGTGGGCTGGGAGCATTTCTGACAACAGCTCTGCTGGGGATGCAGGTCGGCGTGGTGCTGGTCTCGTGCGTGTTGCTTTGCCCAGTGGGAACAAACTGGAGACTCGCACCTGCCCGGGGGATGTTCTCATGCTGGCCCAGCTGAAGTGCAGGACCTGGGTCAGGTGGAGCTGAGGCTGCCGTTCGGTGCTGCTGTACAGTCCACTCCTCGTGCAGGATGCTGTTTAATTCCTTCCACAGTGTCACGTGGTAGTCTAGCCCGGGGGTCTTTAGCTCATGGCATGTGAAAGCTAGTGTGTGCTCCTGTTTGGGCCCGTGCCCTCGAGCGCTGGAATTTAAGGCTTACATGCTGCTGGTTCCCTTCTGTGCGTCTGACGTGCCAACTTGACCAGGTCAGGCTAGCGTTTGCATGAAATTTCCTAGCTCTCCAAGCCAAGAAGAGCGCGGAAAGCACCCGAGTCTGGGTCTGGCCCAGGGCTCGGAATCTCTCATCTATTTAACACTTGCTTCCTTGCTATTAAACCCTTTTGTGCGAGGTAAACTGAATTAAATAGCACCTATTGCTATTTGATACTGAGAAGCTGTTAGCTTCCTGCTGTTCTGGCTCTTCCCATGCCCTGTGGAAGTGCAGTAGACGGTCTAAATTTAGACATCTGCCTTCCTCCCCGGAGCACTTTACCCCTCCTGTGCAGGGGGACCCTCAACTCTGACAGCTCCTGCATGGGCTGCACGTTGTGGTCTCTAGCAGGCACGTACAGCCCACAGCACCTCTGCTCTTCAGTCTGGGTAGAAACCTGCAGCGTGCGCTGCAGGGCCTGGCCTTGCAGAGCTGCCTTGCAGCAGCAGCTCAGAGGAGGAAGCATCTCCAACCTGCCGCTTTGCGGCCTCAGCATCACCTCCAGCTGGGCAGGCAGCTCTCTGTGGTCATGGGACCTTGCATCACGGCAGCGGAGCTGGTTCTGCCTCATGTGCTGCAGAGCCAGGCCTGTGTCTCTGGGCTGAGCTACCGGCATTGCTTCTCCCAGCCCAGCAGGGATGGGGGAAGACTAGAGGAGAGTCAGTCACAGGCTTGCCTCTGTCCCCTGCAGAGTGGTCCCTGCATGTCTCGGGCATGTTGGTGTTTGGGCCCAAAAGCTTGCAGAGAACAATTTTTCCAGCGACTTTGTTGGTCTAATAAAAGATGCTGCATTTACCCAAAGAACCTTGTCTACCCTGCAGGTCTCTGCACTCTTGTCCGGCACTGGGCTGCCCAGGCATGGCGGGTCGGCAGACAGCACAGGAAGCTGATTTTGGGTGGCCCTGCCTTCTCTTGGTGGAGACGTGTCGGCTCCCAGCTCCAGGACAAGCTGAGTGTCTGAGCTATGTGCCTCCATGGCGAGCCCAGAGTGCCAGGCTCGGGCCAGCCTGGCATTGTGCCCTTCGTGGCCTTCCCCTCGCCCACATCCCGCCCCACGGTGCTTTGCTCCACTGCCCTCGACTCCTTTCTGCAGGGCTGGGGGAGGATGCTGGGAGCGAGCCCGTGATCCCGGCTCTGCCCAGGAGCCGCAGCAGCTGCCGGCTCCCCTTAGTGGGCAGCCGTGGAATAAGCTGCCTTGACAGTAACTCACCCGGCTCCAAGAGCCTGGGTCTGCAGTACAGCGTGGTTCATGCTCCTGGCTTGGGAAGTAACCTGCAAGCCGTGTCCTTGTTTCCCTTGTAAGGCCACTGCTTTGGGAATCCTGCTGAGCTCTTGGCCCCGGTGGCTTCCTGGTCCGCAGGCTGTGTGCGCCCTGCGTGCAGCAGCAAGACGCTGGCAGTGCCCTTGTGCCCCCTCTGTTGCCAGTGTCAGGTCTGGGTGTGCTTGACCAAGCATGATGCCCAAAACACCGTTGTGTGGTTTAAAGCACAGGTTAGACAAACACTTGGCTGGTTCAGGCAGAGTTGATCCTGTGTGGAGCAGGGGCTGGACAAGCTGTGACACCACCCCCCCAATATACCTGCCAGCCCAGTGGCTCGGGGACTCTGAGACCACCCTGCCTTGGGGGATTCAGAGGATGTGCACCCCTGCTCGTCTCTGACAAAGTACTGGTGCCACTCGCCGTGCCATTCCCACGCTTCTGGATGGCAGGCGAGGCCCCAGGGGGCTGGAGAAGGGTTAACAAAGCGCTTAGCCTTAAAGCTGAAGGAGGGGCAGCACCCGGGGAATGTTGGGCTCCGTCCCTCCGATGACACTACTTGCGGGATTCCTCGAGCAAATGGCAAAGCAGTTGATTTGCGAGTGGCTGGAGAGGGGGGAGGCACGATCACTAGCAGCCAGCATGGACTTGCCAAGGACTAATCCTGCCAAACCGGGGGTGACCAGCTTGGAGGCTGAAATAACTTCACTGGACTGCGGTACGGATCTGACAGTGTCCTGTGCTGTTCCCATGAGCAAGCAGGAGTGCAGGCCAGATAGAGCACCTGTAGGCGGGTACATAATTGGCTGAGTAACAACCGAGCAGAAGAGCATAAATGGGTCATTGTCAGACGAGGAGGAAGTCCCACGTGTGGCTCCACAGGACAGAGTCTGGTACCACTTCATGCTTCGTTACAGATGTGGATGTAGCAATAGGCAGCTTCCTGGTCCGGTCTGCAGTCAACGCACTGGGGGGGACTGCAAATGCTTCAGAGGACAGAACCGAGACTCCAGGGCAAACTGGGCAGCTGGGCAACAGGCGACAGGTGAAGTTCGGCACAGAGGAGTGCCGTGCTGCAGGGGCGGAGCGAAAGCTGAAGGCACAAGTACAGCTTGGGGTGTGACCGGCTGGCAGCAGCACTGCCACACAGGACCTGGGACTTCTCGGGGCTTATATTCGCAGTGCGAGTCAGCAGCCTGGTGCTGTCACACGAAAAGCAAATCCAAGGCATCATATGCAAGATGCAGGAGTTGGCAGCACCCCGTGGGGCTGGGCAGGCCTCGGCTGGAGAACGGCAGGCTGCTGGGGGCGCCATGTTTTCAGGAAGGATGTTAAAAACCCTGGAGAGGATCAGGACAAGAGATGAAGATGACAAAGGATTTGCAATGTGAGCTGCATGCAAGCCTGCAGGAGCTCGGGTGTTCAGCTTGTAGAAAAGGAGATTAATGGGGGGACATGACAGCAGGTTTCAGATGCTGGAGGGAGGAACCTTGTTCTGTGCCACAGAGGGCAGGATGTGCAGCAAACAGCGCTCGCGTCTCGGGGAGATCTTGTTGGCAGTGACCGCAGTAGGACCATGGGAGAAGCTGCCCAAGGATGCTGTGCAATCTCTGTCCTTGGAGTCTCCCAGAAGGGGTTGGCAGGTGTCCCTAGGGTGGATTAGCAGCAGCGCATCCTGCGTCTGTGCAGGTGCCTGAGCTGGATGACGCTGGGGCGGGTATGTGGGAGCAGCACGTGCCCTGGCTCTTGGGGTTCCTGGTGGCCGTAGAGGCGGGATGGATGCGGAGGCTTTCTACAGCCATAGCGCTGGTGTGTAGGGCAATGGCTCTGCTCCCAGGACTGCTGGTGCCACAGCTTGCTGCATGGGGCCTGTGCTGTGCTGTGCTGTGCTGTGCTGTGCTGTGCTGTGCTGTGCTGTGCTGTGCTGTGCTGTGCTGTGCTGCTGGGGGCAGGCCCTCAGGCATGTGTGACGGCTGTGCAGCTGCGCTGTCCTGAGGATCTGTGGCTCCAGCAGGTCGCAGGCTTGACAGCATGATGCTGTCACAAGAGCAGCTGGTGCAGCTTTGCTAGCAGAAGCATCGTGAGCAAGGCAGCTCTGAGAGCGGTGGGGAAGCAGGGCTGGCGCTGGCCCCAGCTCCCTCGGTGGGGTGGAGCCATGCCTGTGCCTTGCACTAGCTGGAAGCTCTCTGGGGTGTTCATGGGCACCTGGCAGTGACCCCGGTAAGCAGGAGCCGGGTGGAGAGTGTCCTGGTGTGCAGGGCCATGTCTCTGTGGGCCCCAGGCACTGGGGGTATGTCATTTTGACCCCCAAACCTGTGGTACCACCCAGGAGGCTGCTGAAGAGCAGGTCCCTTGGTGGGTTGTGCTAGGTATGGCTGGCCCTGCCCTGTCCCCACCCCACAAGGCTCCACCTCCGGCTTTGCCTGAGCCTTGCTGTCACCTGTGTCACGGCTGCAGGTTTGAGTCCTGCCTGGGGGGCTGGGGTCCTGCAGGTGCAGAGTGTGCAGGGCTGGGCGGACACCCCCAGCAGAGCTGCAACCGCTGACCCCACGCTGCCCTCTCTCCCCAGCCTTTCTTCCGGCTGTTGAAC